GCGGCGGCGGTGACCGGCCCCGTGTTGCAGATCATGTTCCCGGTGGCCTACTGCAGCATCGTGTACTGGATGACGGCGCAGCCCTCCGACGCCGTGCGCTTCGTCCTGTTCGCCGCCCTGGGCACCATGACCTCCCTGGTGGCCCAGTCCCTGGGCCTGCTGATCGGCGCCGCCTCCACGTCCCTGCAGGTACCGCCAGGTCGCTCCGCTGCCCAGACACCTGCGCCCACGGGGAGGGGCGCATCTGACCAGGGCTCAGGCCTGTAGCACACACAGGGACGTGTCGGCACGCCACACACGCCACACACACGGACACCTCACACAATACACAGGTGGCACACACAGGGACGTGTCGGCATGCCACACACGCCACACACACGGACACCTCACACAATACACAGGTGGCACACACAGGGACGTGTCACCACACCACACACGCCACACACACGGACACCTCAACACAATACACAGGTGGCACACACAGGGACATGTCACCACGCCACACACACCACACACACACGGACACCTCACACAATACACAGGTGGCACACACAGGGACGTGTCACCACGCCACACACGCCACACACGGACACCTCACACAATACACAGGTGGCACACACAGGGACGTGTCAGCACGCCACACACGCCACACACACGGACACCTCAACACAATACACAGGTGGCACACACAGGGACGTGTCACCACACCACACACGCCACACACGGACACCTCAACACAATACACAGGTGGCACACACAGGGACGTGTCAACACACTACACACACCACACACATGGACACCTCAACATAGTAAAACTACACACACATGGATGTGTCAACATACTACAAACATGCCTCACACAGAGACACCTCAACACAGGACACAATACACACACAGATGTGTCCACATGCTACACACATTCCACACACATGGAAACCTCAATACAATACACATGTATCACACACATTGATATATCAACATACCATACACATAGCATATAAACCATACGCTACACATACCACACACATACATGTACCACACACCACACACATACATGTACCACACACAAACACACCAGCATACTACACATATAGCACACATACCACATACTATACATACCACACATACATGTACCGCACATGGACACGCCAACATGCTACACACATAGCACACACACTACACTCACAGGGATGCCTCAACACACTACACAGATACCTCTCACAATCCACACCCCACGGGCACATGGACCCATCAACACAGGACACATGTACCACACACGCATGCGCACACCACACACACCCCCTCCACACACATACACACACACACACACACACACACAGGTGCTGTCCCTGGGGTTCTCCCACCTTGGGCGCAGGGTCCGGCTGCGTCCGGTTTCTCTCTCCCTGTGCTGCCCTCGCCCCAGAGGTGGCAGCGCACTTCCCTCCTCTGGCTCGGGACCCGCGGGGAGAGCCCGCCAGGTGCCGCACGGGCCGGGCTCCGTCCTTGCCACTCGGGCAGCTGGCGGAGGGACGGCAGCCCCTCGAGGAGGGTGCGATCCAGAGGGTCTCCCTGGGGTCCCCTCGGCCTGGCTGGGGGGACATCGACCACGGGCTCTCTCCACGCGTCCTGCGCTGCAGGGGGCCCTGGGTCTGCTGGCGTCACAGCAGGGTGGTGGGTGGCCGTGCCACCTGCCTGTCAGCTCCTGGGGGACAGCCATGGCCTCTGCCCAATGGCAGCACCATTCCTCGCCATGCCGGAGACACCTGTCCTGCTCTCGGGGAAGCTCCTCTTGCCTCCCACCTGCCCCTGTGCACTGGGGCCCTGAGCCGCCCCCAGGACCGGGCCCTGCAACGAGTCCTCCCTGATCCCCGCCCGCCCCAGGTGGCGACGTTCGTGGGCCCCGTGACGGCCATCCCTGTACTCCTCTTCTCGGGATTCTTCGTGAGCTTCGACACCATCCCCACGTACCTGCAGTGGATGTCCTACATCTCCTACGTCAGGTAGCGTGCAGACTCCCACCCCAGGGGAGGGGCCGCCGCCGCGCCTGTCACTGGGTGTGGGTCACCAGCCTGGGGGGTTGACGGCTTTTATTTTTTTCCTTGTTTGGTGTGTCCCCACCCTTACCAACACACACACACACACACGCATGCACGCACACACATGCATGCACGCACACACACGCATCCACGCACACACACACATGCACGCACACACATGCACGCACACACGCACACACACACGCATGCACTCTCACACACACATGCACACACACGCATGCACACACACATGCACGCACACATGCATGCACACACGCACGCACGCACACACACGCACGAGGACAGAACGCACACAGGTGAGTCACTCCCCGAAGAAGCCCTGGAGCACGCCCGTGTTCCGGGTGTTTCCCAGAGCTGCCTTGGGTGGGAGTGCTTTCCTCTGTTGGGAGCCTTGCTCCTCTCCCGAGTGGACAGTGCTGGCGACAAGGCCCTGATGGTTGTGAGACCTTAACACGAAATCCGGTGGGAAACAAGTCACCTTTTAAACACCCTAGCGCCTTTGAACAAGAATGTTCTAGTGCCTCGGGCCCGTAGGCTATCGGCTTTCGTGCCCCCAGAGCAGTGGGCGGTCCCCTGGCGCTGGCCGCGCGCTGGCCGCGGTAGGTGGGAGGCCGTGCCCATCTCTGGAGTCCTCCCGCCCCCAGCGGCTGTGATTCCACCTGACAAAAGCACCCCGAGTTGGGAACAAGCTCTTCTTTTCTAGAATGTCAGTTCAGACCCAGGCCCATTGTGTGGGACAACAAAAATCAAAACAAAGGGTCTGTACAGAGTTTCAACGATCTGTGCGCTGCCCAACACCAGGACATCAGAAACCCGTGTCTTTCTTCTCAGAGTCAGTGTCTCTGTTCTGACGGTGCGGGCGGAGCAGGGACGTTTGCGCAAACACTGTCCAGTCTCTGTGAGCCTGGCAGACCGTGGTCGTGGCTAACCGTCAGAAAGCACGCGGCGCTGGCCGCAGCCAAGGCATTCGTCAGTTCCTTGCACCCGTGAACGAGCACACCTGCCGCCAGCCCCGCTCTGGGGTCTTGCCGGGGGTTCTGGAGGAAAGGAAATTGGTGGGGAAGCGTAGCTGAGCCGCTGAGTGCGCTTGCCTTGGGAAGCAGCCGAGAGGCCCGCGCGTGCTCCGGCGGCGCAGGCGGGTCTGCGGGGCGGGGGGGCGGGCCCTGCCCCTCACCTGCGCTTTCCCCCCAGGTACGGCTTCGAAGGCGTCATCCTGTCCATCTACGGGCTGGACCGGGAGGACCTGCACTGCGACTCGGAGGAGACGTGCCACTTCCAGAAGTCGGAGGCCATCCTGAGGGCGCTGGACGTGGAGAACGCCCAGCTCTACCTGGACTTCGTCGTGCTGGGCATCTTCTTCGTCTGCCTGCGCCTCATCGCCTACCTGGTGCTCAGGTACAAGATCCGGGCGGAGAGGTAAAGCGCCCGGCGCCCGGCGAGAGGAAGAGCGGGCATCGTGGCCAAGGGCACACTCCTAGAGTCGCGGCGAGGCCGTGCCCGGTGACACGGAGACTATTGCGACCCAACCCCAGGAACCCGGTCGGTGTGTGGGTGGCTGGGGCCCACCCTCTCCACCCAGCTGGGCTGGGTCCTCCCGCATCCCCTTTCTAGCTGTAACTAGGAAGACGTAGGAAGGTTGGGGGTTTTTTTACGTGCAGAATTGAAAATGCCACCACTGGGCGGAGCTTAAAACTGCGTCACAGCCGGTGACGGGAGGCTTCCCCGGCAAAAACTTCTTCACCGTTCGTCCTGGACGGTGGAGGGCAGCCAACTTCTCAGCTGGTCCCGGCGCAGCGAGATGTCTTGGGAGAGAAAGTCCCGGCACGAGTGGATTCCATCTTACGACTGTTGTTTTTCATAGTTTCGTCTTTCTAAGGTCTGTCTCTTTCCAATGAGAGGTCGTTTTCCAAGCCAAAAGTCTTTAAATTTCATTCATTTTAAGAAATTGTACCTTGTTAGTGCTTGCTGAAGAATTGTTCGGGACGAATAACATGCTTTGTTCAGAGGTTTAAAGGGTCTAACCTGGTCACGGAGCTGGTCCCAGTACAGACAGAGCCTGTGAAAGATTCCACGCGGTCTCCAGGCTGAGGGAGAACTTTGGCACCGTCTGCACGCGGCCCTGCAGACGTTTTTTTAAAGTTATGCAAAGAGTTGTTAGGAAGAAATTGGCTAACTCTTCCCAAGTCTTTTATTTTCCACGTGCTTTTGATTTTAAGCAAAATATATCGTTTCTTTCTAACTTTCTGACCACCTTAATTTTGCCTAAGAAATTTCTAGATCAACTGTGTTGACCTTTAAAAAGCAATTTCCCTTCCCTCCTGTGTCACATCAACTACCTCCACGGAGCCTGGAAGAGCTGGGCCTCGGGGAATCTCAGGCGTGGCCCTGAGGTTTGGGTCCGCGCATGCGGCCGGCCCGTGACGGGCGAGCTCAGGGCAGGGGAGAGGGGAGGACGCCGCCACCTGGCGCTGGCACGCAAGAGCTTTGCGTGCAGTCGGCGAAGACTTCAGCGCGCGGAGGCGTCTGTGACTTGCCCGAGCAATGCGTGTAGAGCTATGGGGGATGTCGTCTCCCACGTCTGGTTTCTGTGACCGCTCAGCTACACCACCTCGTCCACGCTGGGCCTGTGCAGACTCCATGTACTGGGAGCCCTTGTTCCCGCTGACATAGCCACACGGTACAGTCCCAGGGCTGGAGCAGTGGGCGTGCCTGCAGGGCAGGCGGCCTTTGAACTCACAGCGGGGCTGCCCTGCGCTTGCCAGGTGCCTGAGGCGGTTTGAGGATCAAAGGTGATTCTGGCCAAAGAAGTCCCTCGTTAGGAAAGTGCAATTGCCTCCTCCTTCTAGAATGTCGTTGTCCTGGAATCAGGGTCTCCCAGCGAAAGAGCTCCGAGCTGGTCCCCAGGACGGAGCAGGAGCATTGCATTTTTGTGGGCAAGTCCATGAACCTTTCTGAGCCGCAGTTTGTCATCTGCAGACGGTGACCCTGCGTGGTGCTCGAGGCCGTCCTCAGCTCTGGCAGGCTGTGAGGCTCCTTGCTTCTGTCCCCGAAGCTCTTGCTTCCTGCTTTGAGGGAATGAAAAGGTCTGGGTTTTACTTACACGTGGATTTAGTTTGCAGATGCTTAGAGATTCCTTTTTCACTCCCAGACCTTTATTAGTACACACAAGTGAGATATATAGTAAAATGCAATTTTGAGTTTGTTTGTGCTCCACTGATACGGCATTGCTTTCCAGCTTAAGGTTTTAACCAGGGTCAAACGTAGCCTTTGCAAAAAGTCTTCATTTAATTTCAAAATAGCTCTGCCTGTAGACATCACTCGCAGGGAAGACCTCCCACAGGAATGGCCTGGACTTGGGAAGAGGAGAAAGTCCCCGATCGAGCCTCAGCATTGCACCGTTGTGGGCTGGTCTTGGGGGCTCATGACCCCAACAGGGACCTGTCTGCCGACATCTCCACTCCGAAGGCAGCGTCACCTCCCTCCCCGAGAGCACGTTGTCACGTCCCAGCAATTTCAGAAGCGAGACTCCTCTAGATTTAAAGTCAGGCTTCCAAGAGCACCTAAACCTGCAGAAGGAATTATTTTCCCAGGAGTTCATGCTCCCTGGATTCCCATTTTCCATGGTTGACAGGTGCATTTACCCCTCAGTGGATGAGGGACTGGCTGGGTCCTGCCAAGGGGCAGATCTTGGGGGCCATGAGGCCGGTGGGGCGCGTGGGAGGGGATTTGTGTGAAAGGTCACGTGGGGTTGTGCATTTAAAGGCTGTTCCCCGAGCAGGCTGCTCGCTCGCCCCACCCCTGCACACTACTGCATTTTCTCCCTCTGCCTATGGTGTCAGGGTGGTCTGCTAACTTACCTTACTCCAGTGACCCAAGATAACACCCACGCAGCTGTCCGGTTTGCTTTTCTGAATGGCGTGGCTGAGAGGTGCGTGATGGCATGCTGTCTTTCACACGCTGGAGTCTAGATCCAGGCCGACGCCCCGAGTCTGGTTTGTTTAAGCAACTTCTAAATGTAATGACCCAAGTGTTCCTTTCATCTCTGATTGAATTTCTCCACCCGGAGGAAGACTGAGCCTTGGATGAAAGATGCGTGGCCTCCCCCGTTGTTGGCAGAGGTGGAAATGGAAGTCCAAAGAGTGTCGCTTTTAACGTGTCTCGTCCACTTCATTCACAGCATTTCGTGCCTTCCTTTCTTCTGCTCTCACTGAATAGCAACCAGAGCTAAACTCCCCACGGGCCCCTGCAGGGGGGACATGGGAATCGTCCCCAGGAAGGGGAGGAACCGTGTGAGCATCTTACAGAGTCCCCGAATTGCCCACGTTGCATCATGTCACATTGAGGGAGGTGCCTTCAGGACCAGGAAGTGGGGCGTAAAGCTTCTAGCTAAAAACTCATCTCAGAACCCCTCGAAAGGTCATTTTCCCGGCCTGAGGTCAGGGACAGCCACGTGCACGAGGCAGAACCGGCCCCTGGTTGTTTCGGTGAGGAGGGGAAATGTGAGCCTCTCGCCTTGTCTAGCAGGGTGCCTTGGGCCCCTCCCCAGCCTGTCCCGCATGCCTGGCGCTGCTGCCCCAGCCGGGGGGGGGGGGGGGGCTGGGGAAGGGGCTCTCTCCGCCTGCTCTGGGTGGGGGGCGGGCGAGGACCGCCTGGCCCCTTTGCTCAGCTCTGCCCGTCGTGCAGACGTGGAGGCCGCGGCAGGGAAGGCCCCGGGCAGGGAGGGCGGAGCTGGACCGCAGCCCCTGTCTCACCCCAAGCCCCTGTTGCTCTGCTTTGCTGCGCTGCCTCCTGTCCGTGATGTTTGAATGCGCCTGAAATGCTCTGCAAGGCGTGACGTGCGATGCTAGTTAGTGGCTGATTTGTTCAGTTATTCCTTCTGTCACCAAACAGATGGCTGAGACGAGAGTGGCTGGTGGCCCGTGCCCCTTGCCCTCGGTGGCCTTACATCTGAGTGCAGCGAGGGTGTCGGTAGCTGGCCTGGGGGGGGCGCTGGCCTTGCCACTAGTCTCAGGGGAGGGGTCGCCCCCTCGCCCTTGCCTGGCCTTGGCTTCCCAGTGCAACACCACTGCACGCCCACTCGGGCTCCGGAGGGGCTGATGTGTGTGTGTATCTGCCTACATACATGAACACGTGCATACATGTGCACATGTATGTGCACGTGTGCTGATCAGAGAGCCCCTTCCCCGGCCCCCCCCCCCCCCGGCTGGGCAGCAGAGCGCAGGCATGCGGACAGGCTGGGGGGGCCCAAGGCAACCCTGCTATGACAAGAGGCGAGGAGCTGCACATTTCCCCTCATCTCACAGAATACAACGGGCCGTTCTGCCCTCCGTGACAGTGGCGTCCCTGACCTCAGGCCCGGGAAATGTACCTTTCGAGGGGTTCTGGAGATGAGTTTTTTAGCTAGAAGCTGTACGCCCCACTTCCTGGTCCTGAAGGCACCTCGCCCCAATGTGAACATGATGCAACGTGTGGCAATTCGGCGGCTCTGTAAAGATGCTCAACAGGGTTCCTCCCCTTTCCTGGGGACGCTTCCCATGTCCCCCTGCAGTGGCCCGTGGGGAGTTTAGCTCTGGTTGCTATTCAGTGAGAGCAGAAGACAAAGGAAGGCACAAATGCTGTGAATGAAGTGGACGAGACACGTTAAAAGCGACCACTCTTTGGACTTCCATTTCCACCTCTGCCAACAACGGGGGAGCCACGCATTTTCATCCAAGGCTCAGTCTTCCTCCGGGGTGGAGAAATTCAATCAGAGATGGAACAGGAACACTTTGGTTCATTAATTTAGAAGTTGCTTAAAACAAAACCAGACTTGGCGTCGGCCTGGATCTTAGACTCCAGCGTGTGAAAGGGGACAGGCATGCCATCCGCCACCTCTCAGCCACACCATTCAGAAAAGCAAACCGGACAGCTGGTGGGTTGTTTACTTGGCGTCACTGGAGTAAGGGTAAGTTAGCAGGACCACCCTGACACCCATAGACAGAGGGAGAAGATGCAGTAGTGTGCAGGGGTGGGGGCGAGCGAGCAGCCTGCTTGGGGAACAGGCCTTTTAAATGCACAACCCCACGTGACCTTTCACACGAGTTCCCTTTCAGGCCACGCCCCCCCCACCTCACGGCCCCAAGATCTGACCCACTTGGCAGGGACCAGCCCAGTCCCCATCCACTGAGGGCGTAAAATTTGCACTGTCAACCATGGAAAATGGGAATCCAGGGAGCATGAACTCCTGGGAAAATAATTCCCCTTCTGCAGGTTTAGGTGCTCTGGAAGCCTGACTTTAATCTAGAGGAGTCTCGCTTCTGGAAATTGCCTGGGACGTGACAACGTGCTCTCGGGGGAGGGAGTGACGCTGCCTTCGGAGTGGAGATGGTCGGCAGACAGGTCCCTGTTGGGGTCACGAGTCCCACAAGACCAGCCACCAACGGTGCAATGCTGAGGCTCGATCGGGGACTTTCTCCTCTTCCCAAGGGTCCAGGGCCGTCCTGTGGGAGTCTTCCCTGCGAGTATCTCTCCTT